AATATTCAAGAAACAGCACTGTACACTTTAAATATCTGAAAAACTTTTATTGATTAGAGAATGGAAGTAAAAAATAATAAATACTATGAACTTGAAATCTACTTATCCATGAGATTTTGCTCAGTTAGCTATCAGTACCCAGTTCAAGTGCTGCCTTCACACAAAGCACTGATTCACCAACTAGCCAAGTACATTTTATGTAATACGTGAAATATCTAGTATCACAATACATTCAAACAATTGGATTAATTCCCTATAGCAGGGGTGTCAAACTGGAGGCCGTGCATCACATGCAGGCCACACCCACGTGAGCTCTGCAAAGGCAAAAAATATTACAATATGTCATGTGACATCAATGTGACAAGTCATTAGTGTGACATCACAGCGAGTTTGACACCTGTGCCCTTTGGGGTGTTTGTTTATTCATGAATAACTGAGGTTGACTCAGCCTTCCAACCTTCCGAGGTCAGTAAAATGAGGATCCAGATTGTTGGGGGCATTATGCTGATTCTGTAAACTGCTTAGAGTGGGCTATGAAGCACTGTGAAGAGATATATAAGTTTAAGTCCTATTGCTATTAGGAAAATTGGTGAGTGGATTAAACATTTCCTCTTTATCATTATGGCCAATGAAACTTACCACTAGCCCTCTCCTCACTACATAGTCAAGGGCATCCTCTATGAATACTGTTAGGAGGAGAGAGGGAAAAAGTTACATCTAGATGTTCCATGATCTTAAGTGTTACATCTATTTCAGCCGCAATCTTCTGGTGGAAAAAGTTAGTGTGAAACAGAACAACCTGTTTAAGTTTGAAACTGCCCATGTTTGAACGATGTTAATTGCCTGAAGAAACAACTTTTTAAAGTTGGTGGGTGACTTTAATTTCTATTGATAGAACTTCTAGTGGTAGGTGGGGGTAACGTGGTCATCTGGAGAAGTCAGAAGAGAGGGCAACATGCTGTCTGAATCATTCCACCTGGGGAGGTTTCTCTGTGATCAAATGGGCTGGATGAGTCATTCATTAAGCCACATTGTGTGGGTTTAAGAACAGCAGAAGAAAGGACTTTCCCCCCTTGAAAATCTAACCCCAAGACAGACATGACTTGGCAATGGGCCATGCCTTTCTTCTGTCCTACTGCTCTCCATGACCTGCCTTCACATTGTCCTCTAGCCTATCAGTAAAACAGGCTTAAGTCATGCTCAGCTCTATTGGTGTTAAACAAATATTTTCCTCCTTATTGTGACATGGTTGGAGGGCAGCCTCAAGGTATGTATAATCTATTAGAGGGGAAGGTGAACTGACTACCATGGCTTCAAACAGGGTCTGTTGAAGCAGGTTAGCTGAAGCTGAAGCAGAAGCCAATCTTTATTCTTTCAACAATGAGGACAACCAATGTTATGTTGTGCAGTTTTGGTCAATAGAAGGAGGGCTGGAAAACATGCCTGCTCAGAAGTGAGAAAACATCTATTCTAGTTCTCTGGGGCTTCAAACCCTTGCCAGTGCCAATCTGTTAGAGAAATAAGATAAACTGGGTCAATTTAAAGGTAAAGGTAAAGGTTCCCCTTGCACATATGTGCTAGTCGTTCCTGACTCTAGGGGGCAGTGCTTATCTCTGTTTCAAAACCGAAGAGCCAGCGCTGTCCGAAGACGTCTCCATGGTCATGTGGCTTGCATGATTAAACGCCAAAAGTGCATAGAACGCTGTTACCTCCCCACCAAAGGTGGTCCCTATTTTTCTACTTCAATTTTTACGTGCTTTTGAACTGCTAGGTTGGCAAAAGTAACAAGTAACAGGAGCTCACTCCATGATGCAGCACCAAGGATTCGAACTGCTAACTGCTGACCTTCTGATCAACAAGTTTGGCACCTTAGCTGCTGAGCCACATGTCCCAGGTCAGTTTATATGGATATAATATCGTCTCATCCCGCTGTGATTGGCCCGTCCTACCAATGCTGGCTGAGGTGGCATGCTGATGGCCCATCAGCCACAGTATTCCAGCAGTTGGGGTTCAGGAGAAGAGCCTTCTCTGCCATTGCTCCTTATCCCTCGGAAAGAGGTTGGCTCCAACCCTCCTGCCCGTCTGCAATTGCTTACAGACCTGCCTCTGCCAGCTGGCTTAGGGTTCAATGGGAGGGGGGATCTTCACATTGGGACCAGTTGACAAACTAATAGCAAGTCCCACCTCCCCTCCTGCTCATCCTATTCCTTCTCTCTTCATAGTTTAGTTACAGTTGGATATTTATCCTTTTTATAATTTAGTCTCTTGTCACGATCCAAAAGTAAATCAGAGTCCAAGGCAAAGTATTGGTCAAAGTTCTAATTTATTAAGAGAGTTGCATATCTGGGAACACCCAAATCTGAAAGCTCCCCGATTTTGCCCATCTAGTTGAAAGTTCAAGATCTTGCCCCACACCCACAAGCCCATCATATGGTCCAATCTCCCACTGCCATGCTGGCAGTTCCACCCATCCAATTCTGGTCAAGTGCAGAAGCAAAGGATGACCTTGGCTTTCTAGAAATAATTTTGTTGTGGCTACATAGTATGTGACTCCTTACAATCCCCCCTCCCATTTTCCCCACAATAGAAAATGCATAGCAGAATAATAGAAAGTGTGGCAGGCCAAAGACCCAAAAGAAAATATGGCTGTGTATAGGTTTTGTAAAATTTTATGGTATCTTTTTAATATCGTAAACTGCCCTGAGTTACTTTGTGGTAAGATGTGAAGTCAATAAATTTAATAAGTAAATAAATAAAAACTAAAGAAATGCTAGCTGTGATTTCAGCTGAAAAATGTACTGAATGATTTATATGATGCAATATAATCAAAGGTTTTCGGTTTGTATCCCTGAGAACATCAGAAATTTGAATATTTATCCAGGATTTGGGTTTCCTTAAATAAAGTTATTAGAATTGGGAACATTTGTACTATTTATATGTATTAATGAAATATATAATAATATATACAATTTAGGCAGCTGAACAAAACTATGTCATAATTAGAGATATAAATGTGGGAATCCATTTTTAGTAGTACCCAGTCAATCTTGACTAATCTAAACAATATATACTGGTACTTGATGAAGGAATCATAAAAAAATGTAAAGTCTTTAGGTTGGGCTGGGAATTTGAAATTCCATATTCTTGACAAGGACACTACAAGAAAGTTTTCATGAAATCACTGGAATGGAGCTAAATGTGAGAGCAATTACTTTTTGGGAAAAAGAAGAAGGAACAAATATGTTGACAAACTGACTCATAAAGACCTTATTGCAGTATACACCAGACAAAACACCTTTATCAATTAGTAAATGCGGATGCTTACTGGTCATAGTAAGCATATCATATTAAAACCTAAAGTGTGATATGTTTGCAGTGATATGTCACTGTATTGTACTGATTAAAGTGAATAGAAACTGGTCTGTGTCTGGACTGCTACCTGTTGCCCATTCTTAGTTTAATAGAATGTACAGAAAGAGGAAAAACTTGAATAGAAGAAAATCTTCAAAAATTCTCCAGGGAAATTTTTTAGCATGGATCTTTTGTATATTGTGCAATACTTGGATCCAAAGTGGGGGGAAATTACCCTGCCTGATTGTATGCCGCTAAGATCTCATTAAAGAACACCCATCTCTTTCTTGGTTTTGCATGGTAATTGTGAGGTCATGGTAATTGGTTTTGCATGGTAATTGAAATGAAGCCTTCTTTATTGGTTCAAGACAGGTTAATGAAGCATCTTTCCACTACTCAGCTAGTTGTGATTGACAGATTGATTGACAGAATTCCAGTATTTCAATTTCCAATTGTTTGCTTTCCTCTAGCTTTAGACTTATGAGTTTGGGGATAAACAGACCTGAATTTTTTGTCTTGTTACTTGAAATATGCCAGATTTTCTGAAAACACAAACTGTGGATAAAACATAGATTAAGTTTTTGAAAAGCTATCAAATATCTCACTAAACCATGATGTGATTTGTTTGCAACTTATCATATTGTATCTCAATGAATTTTGAAGCTTACTTATTTAGCTAACTATCCTTAAATTAAACAACTGTTTTGCTTTTGAATGACATGTAAAATTGACATCACTTAAAACAAGAAAATTGCCTTAACTCCTCTGGGGTATACAAGAAAAAAAAAGACTTTGCATGCTGAACCTATGTCTGATCATCCATGACTGGCTAAACCAAAAATTTCCAGATGAGATACCAGAATTTCTGTTGCTCCTAGGCATTGGCCAACTCCAAGATTAAGGAGTTGTTAGCTTGATTACTTTAGTCTAATATCTAGTTAAATAATACAGGAACCTGCAATCTGTTTGTTTGGTTCTGGGAATAATTGTCCGATAAATAATTGATTATCAAATTGTTTTTCTTAAGACCATACCCTTTATTCAGTGAATTAGTTAAGCCAATTTCTCACAAGTCTAGTGAAAGTGATAAATAACAGATAACACTTCTTCCTTGAGTTCATTATAAAAGCAATGTCCTTTAAAAAAAAGAAACCTAGAAAATATACCTAGCTGTACCATAGAGCGTGTTACAATCACATTTCTCAATTGTCAAGAAGACTCGCTAAAAGCAGTATAAATTTTGAGGTTCCCAGATTTAGAAGTGATTCACACCTTCGGTGAGCCTGAAAATAAACTGTAGTTTTTCTTAAGAAGTTTGAAACAGAAGTGATCTTAAAATATTTGCAACTTTTTTTTTCCTGGCTCACGTTGAATCCTGAAAAGCATCACTTGTGTTTTAATGAATAATACTGAACTCCGGTGCTTGTTCAAATCTGAAGTGCTTCTTCTGCATCTTTGGGAATAATATGAACATTTCATCTCTGTTAATCTAAGTGAAGTAACGTAATCAGCAACTTCCTTTAAAAACATAATGAAGAACAAATATTAAACTCTTGGATTGGATTGTGATCTTAAGCAACCTGCCTTCGTTAGCTCACACAAAAGAACTCTAACAAACAGCACATAAGCAAGGAATGAGAATGCACTTTGAATGCACAGCATGAACCTTGTGTCATTAGGAAGATCACCGCTTGTCCTTTGCTTCCACAGACAGTTTTGCTCTTCCACAGGTTAGCAAATTACTTATCTCTAAGACATTTAACAACAGATGCTTTAGAAGTACTGCCAGGGCACCAAGCCTTGCAGTTCTGGACACATGGCAAGAAAACACAGTGCAGCAGTTTCTAACTGCTGTGCAGTGATTTTTGTCACAGGCTCGGGAAACTGAGGGGCCTCAGATTTTCTGTCTTGGTTAGGGTTAGCACGGGCATGGGGGTGGGGGAACGGCAGCAGGAGCTTACACGGCACAGCCGGTCTCCTAGGACCTCCTAGGCGCCGGCTGCGCCGCTCATTACCGTCAGTCGCCCCGTGTTCATCAAAGCAAACACAGGGAATTCCTTTGCAGGTGGCTAGAACTGGCCGCCCGCAAAGGGTCTCCCCAGACTTGTTTTGATGAGCACGGAGCGACTGATGATAGTTTGCACCGGCCGCGGCCTCTCAAACTAGTGTCAGTCACCCCGTGTTCAGCAAAGCAAGCCCGGGGTGGTCCTTTGTGGGCGGCCAATCCTAGCCGCTTGTGACCAGCGCTGCAGCTGAAATAACCCCCAAAGCCCCCGCCGCCACCAGAATATCTGCTGCCGCCTCCTCCTCCTCCAACAGCACTGCCGGATTTGCTGCCCGATGCTGCGGCTGAGGTGAAGCCGCCAAAGCTCCCGTCAGCACCCCCGCCCGTGGCAGTGGTGCCTCTCCCTCCACACGGAGCACCTGAGCTGACCCCCGCATTATCCCTCCCCCTTCCTCCTCTGCCGTGCTTTTGAGGAGCCATGAGGCCGCGAGAGCTAGTAGGAAAGCGGCGGAGGGGGTGGGAGCAGGAAAAAAAGGCCTCATGGCTTCTCAAAAGCATGGCGGAGGTGGAGGTGGTGGCAGGGGTAATCCAGTGCCCAGCTGAGGTGCTCTGAGTGGAGGAGGAGGAGGCACCACCACCACCACTGCCATGGGCGGGGCGCCAGCGGGAGCTTTGGTGGCTTCACCTCAGCTGCAGCGCTGGGCAGCAAATGTGGTGGTGCTGTTGGAGGAGGAGGAGGAGGCAGCAGCAGTTATTCTGGTGGCAGCGGGGGCTCGTTGGCATCATCAGTGGCAGCCCTGCCCCCTGTGAAAAAAAACGAAGATGGAGCAGATCCACGCAGATGACGTCTCTGCAACGTGACTGGAGGAGGAATTCTGGGAGTTGAAGTCCACAAGTCTTACAGCTGTCAGGTTTGAAGAACCCTGGTTTTTTTTTCCTAAAGGGTTAGGGGTGCGAGGGTCTTGTAACTTGACAGCTTTAAGACTTGCATGCTTCAAATGCCAGACTTTCTGAGCCAACATTTTGGTTGCTAAGCAGGAGCGTTGTTAAGTGATACTGATATTATATAACACTTTTAATTAAGCGGGTACCTTGAATAAACATAACTTTGAGTTTCAAATAATACTGATTTTGTTGTTGTCTTAGGTGACATCTGTGAAAAAAATTCAGGTGCTCAGGCATGAAAATATGTCGCTCAAACACTATACTTTTCTGCTCACACTGAAAAAAAAATAGAGGGAACATTGGTCCTGGAAAGCCAGTTGTTGGATACAACTCCAACTTCACAACATTTGGAGAGCTTTTGATCTCCCATCTCTGCCAGGGAGCATATGCTTTTATCCTTCTTCTGTACAAAGTATTTTGATTGCACTTCAAATATTAACAAACCTCTCTGGGTAATTTTAAAATGTTCCCTCATAACTAAATTATGGCAAAATGTGGTTGGAGAAGATGACGCAGCAACATGTTAATTTAAAACCTGAATTGTTTTTGTTGTGTCGCCTACCAGGGAAATATAGTAAAGAAAATGTGCATTTGATTATTCATGTAATAACTGCGACTAGAATTGTATTTGCACAAAATTGGAAAGATGAAGTAATCCCTACAGAGGAAAATGTGATTATGAAAATATTAGAATGTGCAGAAATGAGCAGATTAACACTAGCAATTAAAGGAAAGGAAGAATTTGATTATTATAATATATGGGGGTTGTTTTATCATTGGCTAGAAACTTAATATGGATAAAAACATTATAAAATTAAATAAATTAGGAATGGAAACGTTATAACAGGAGATATGTTATGTTGTAATGTTAAGATAAGAATAGATACACGTAAAGAATATGGTGGTGAACTTTAATTATTATGACACAAAAATTTGGTACTCAGGCGACACACTGATTAATGAATGATGAAATGTTTGTACTAAAGGAAAACAATAAAAAACTTTTACAAAAAAACCCAAAGAAATTATGAAGAGTGGAAGATGACTGTTCTAATCTTAGACAAAAAACTGATTAATAAAACTAGCTGCCAATTTTCTAAAGAAAACTCTTTTTTTGGTCTTAGGTTTGTACCATGAATGTATCATTGAAGTGAATGACAAATGAATTGTTCTTGCATTTGTTTCATCCAACTTTGAATAAGAAAACTCCATGCTATGTCTTCATTTGGAGCAATAAGCTTGTGGGTCAAATGGTTTTCTATGGTTGTTATACCAACGAAACTATTGTCTTTGGTTTGCCTACTCAAGACTTTTCCTCCAGCTTCCTCTTGTGTAATCTTTCATTGCAGAACATTTCTTACTCAAAGAAATGAGTGAAGTTTCCTGTCTCCTTTGAGAAAGAAGAGAAGGTGGGACCTCTGGCAGATTCTTTAGAACTCCTAGCTCTCCGGTATGTGCAATTTGCTCCTTTTAAAACTCAAATGCCATTCTGGTGTTTACTTCAACTGTAAAATAATTGTTTGGAATTAATGATAGAGAACAGGCATTTGCTCGGTTTTGTTGCTGTTTCCCTTTTTTCAAAGATCAGTGTGACTTCCTCTTTTCCTTTAGTTCTGCAGTGCAGATAAGGAGCGAGAAGATAGGGCATGGCCCAGAAAAAATTATACCTTTTACATTCCCACTGATTTCAAGGAAAGAGATTTAAATAAGTCAGCTTCTTTGAAAAAGGGGCTTATTTCTGAATTACTGCCTTCAATGCACATATTGAAATCTAAGGACATTTACTTTGGGTTTTTATCCTGTTCATTGGACTCAGATGGTGTTTAACATTCATAGTGAAATGTAGGAGAAATGCTAACAGAACAGTTCAGGTTCAGAATAAAGATGTTATTATTGCAATCAAAACAAGTACAAATGAGTATAGTCTTTGTTTTCAGTATCAGTAATTTGCTTTTAAATCTAAATATATGCATATACTCATGTTTTTGAATGATTGTCTACCTCAATTGTATTTAACTGGACTTGTTGCTTGTGTTTTGTGATATGTTTGGCTGATTGGGAAAAGGTCCAACAACTGTGCATTAGAAATTTTGATTAGATGTATAATATTATACATTATTATAATATCCATAGCATAAATATAGAAATATAGCAAGAGCAGCAAACCAGGCCTCACCTGTCAGATTGCACAAAAACAAATTTACACACCAAAGGGCACATCTCAATCTCTCTTGAATTTTGCTTCAAATTGTGGATTGTTTTTCCACTGTGGTTACCTCCAGCCTTGATAGGAGTAAAACTATTCAGAACTCAGAAGGGCTAGGCAGCCTGACATGTTTCTTCATAGATCCTAAGACATCTCATAACAACTGTCCCAAAACTTTATATAAAACATTCCTTAGAAGTTTGGAAAAACTGGGAATGATGTTTGTCACCATTTCCGGTACTCCTATTCCTTGATTACCCCAGTTACTAAGTTAAATATGATCAGTTCACGGGAGGGAGACAGAGAGAGTTTGCCTCCTGATGGGAAATTTGGCTCTGCTTAATGTACTTTGCAGAAGAATTGATTACAAGTTTCAAATGTTTTGGCAAGTTTACAAGAATTAATTCTAAAAATAAAACGTGTGTGGTGCTGTTTCCTTTAAAAATTAAAATCTTTCTAGTTTTCTAATTGGAACATATTATCATATGTTCCAAATTGGAACACATTATCAACTTTTGGGGCATTCTCAATTTTATTTACAATTTTAAATAAGGGAATAAGAAATGAGGAAAAATTAAAAAGTACAGAAGAATTTTTGCTAATCGATTCTAGTGCGATTTTACTGTTCATTTTCATCTGGTTGAATACAGTGGTGCAGTACAAGAGGTTAATTCAATATTTATTGTTATGCGTCAGATTTATTATGTCAGAATATTATGAAACAAAAGTACAGCTTTTCAGCAATCATGCAACACAAAATTTAATTAAAAAATTCTGAAGAATTTTTAAATTATACATTCTTTTATTCAAATTTGTTTTTTTAAATTATATTAATGAAGTAATCTTATACAGATTGCTCCTCTCTATATTATTTTTTCAAGACATAAATACTGATGTTTTGTACTTCTGCTTAAGATTGCAAACATGCTTAGTATTTATAAATATATCTAATTATGCATGCTATTTTTTCTTATGGCCTTTTGTCTAGTTTCTGTTTTCTTGTCTCGTTTTTCTGGGTTTTGTAAAATTTTTAGTTGATCACAGCTTAATTACTCTTCAAGAAACAGAAAAAAATCAGGAGGTCCTAATAGTTATTCCAATTAATGAAGCTCATACCTATTTATCTTCTTGGATATAAACTAGCAACTATCTAGTAAAGTAATGAATAGACACCAATTTCTTATGTGTTTGTCAGTTTCACATATTATGTCTGAATTTTTTTTTTACAAATTAAGCAACTGGTGAAAGCCAGCCTCATAGTGCCCTTACCTTTTTTTTTTTTACCATACAGAAGGAACAAATGAATCAGGAAATAAATGAGATCAATTTTAAATGCACATTTTTGTTTTTAATTCAGTTTTATGTATATGAGTTCATACCCCTCATTTCTTAGATAATCATCTTTTTTCTGGCTTTTGATGGAAAATTCATCTCACTGTATTTATAATAAATTCTTTCTATTTTATGAAGACATTTCATTTTCAGTTCATCAGAATAACCATTGTGATCTGATCGGTGCATCCCAAACCTGAATCTCTTCATTTAGCCAAAGAGTAACTTCAGCATGTGCACAACAATCTTTCACTGTGATGTTGATTTGTGCAATTAACAGGAAATGCGTTATACAAGTTACTTCCTTTCCAGTATTATTATTTCTGATTGTTCCACAATGATTCTTACTCTCTCCTTCACCCCTATTTTTTCCAGGTTTTTACACTGAAGCAAGCATTTTAGATGCAATAACAAAAGCGTATTTAATTTTGTTACAGGTAAGCAATCCATTAATTTGATTTATTCTTTACTATTGACTCTGATTCTTAAGTAGTAGGTCTGTTTAGGAATGTTTGAGTGGCTTCTTCTCAATTCAAGAAAGCTTTTTCTAATTCTGGCATTTTTTTTACTTTATCTGCACCCAAAGATCAACTTTTACTTTCTTTCCAAGTTAGCAGGGGCATTGGATATCAATCACACTTTAGTGGTACATGTACCACTAATCAATAAACCCTACAAAATCACAGATAATTGACTCCTCTTTATCTCATAATAATACTGCATTTCTGCCATCTGTTCAAATACTTTAACAATCTTTTTGTCAGCTTTGCTGAATATAAAAATCAACATGGACTTCTTGACCTAGAAGTAACATCATCTGCCAAAATAGAATTCTTTGCAGGACCGGTAAATGACAATATAAATATCTATTATTATCCACTCCAGTCCCAAATCTGTTTAAATGTTATAGTTGGAAACATGGATCAAAGGGATATGTATAGCTATAGCAATAGCATTTAGTCTTACATACTGCTTCATAGTGCTTTACAGCACTTTCTGGATGGTTTACAAAGTCCTCATTTTACCAACCTTGGAAGGATAGAAGGGTGAGTCAACCTGTGTGTGTCTGTGTGTTTGTTTGTGTGTGTATACATGCATACACACACATATATTAAATACTTACTTTTTATGGAAATGGTGTTTATTAAAAAAGGTTATTCAAAACAGTAACTGTGGATTTCTTAGCCAAAAAAAAAAAAAAAAGCCTGATGAGGCAGGATGATGTTATCTAGGATCATCTTGGAAAGTTTTCAAACAAAACGTCTAAGAAATATCTTCAAGGTTACCACCTGTGTTACAAATGTATACTTTGATGGGAAGTGGGAGTCAGTTGACTTGGATTTAATCTCTGGATAAATATCTTTACCTACTTGTTAAAATTATGCCCCAACCCTAATAGATTGACCCATCTAATATCGTATTGGCAAACAACTATAAATCTGTCTGAAAGGTAGAATAATTTCTAGCTTCTCTTACAAGAGCTGAAACCAATGTTAACAAAACAATGATAGGTTTCCCTGCCCTTAATAGTTACATAGTGAAGTCCAAATTTCAGTTCTTACCTGAAAATTCATATTTAGATTTGGCAAGGGGATATTTTCAGATGATCCAGGAAACAATGGCTTTAGTCAGGTCTGGATGGGCAGCTGAAGATTTCGTGTGTCTGAATGTATGGAAGCATTGGAAATTCAGGCAGTTTCAAACATCCCTTACTATTTGAAGGATCTTTCATCATGCTACACTGTTTTATAAATTAGTTACTAATATAGTCAAAGAGCAATGTTCAGAGAATTTTCTCAAAGTTGCACAGGGAAACATATGCATTGTACTTTATTCCAAATGATAATTAGAGAATTATAGGAATGGAATATTTCAAGCCAGGACAAGCAAATGGATGCTCTGGACTGGCATAGCCATAATAGCTGACATTGGCTATGATAACTGGGTTTATGTAATTGTAATAGCAATAGCACTTAGACTTATTGACTGCTTTACAGTGCTTTACAGCTCTCTCTAAGTGGTTTACAAAGTCAGCATATTGCCCCCAATAATCTGGGTTCTCATTTTACCCACCTTAGAATCATGGAAGGCTGAGTCAACCTTGAGCCTGGTGAGATTTGAAGTGCCAAATTTCAGGCAGCCGGCAGGCAGCAGAAATAGCCTGCAGTACTGCACTCGAATCACTGCACCACCGTAATCCCAATCATCTAGATGGCACAATGTTATCTTTCCCCAAGACATATCATACATGCCAGGCTCAGATAAAATTATGGGAGCCTCTGATTTCATAAAGTTACTTACTGACAGTGATCTAATACAGCCCCAAGCAATCCATTGAGTGTTGCTGAAAGCAAAATGGGCTATTTTTCTCCAAACACATCAGACACCAGACACATCACTAGAAGCTAAAATCATAAGGCTACATCTGATTTAGTTTGGCCATGTCAAGCGTGCAAATCCATTGGAGAAGGCAACGATGCTAAGGATGGTTAGTGGAACAAGAAAAAGGGGCAAGCAAAGAACATGCTGGCTTGATAGCATCAAATCTGATACAAAGTTGAACGTCCAACAATCGAAAGAACTGTGCTTGACAGGATAGCTTATAAAGTCATCAAGAGTCAGACACGATGAAATGGCTAAAATAACAACAGATCTACAGAAAGATGTATGCCAACAGAAATGACCAGGTACAGTTTCTCAAGAAAAAAGAAAACAAGTCAAAATGAAGGTTTCACTTAATTACTAAACTTCACAAGATGGACCAGGGATTTTTTCATCTCTCTAAATCTTTTAAAAAGCCTGGTATGCTTCTGGCAGCAAGTGATCTTTTTGCAGATGAGAATCTTCTCTGCATTTCCCGGTTTGGTCATTTGACTTCATGACATTGCAAATTCACATAGTCATTTCAGGAAGGCTTGGAGAAAGGAAGAAACTTCTCTGCAAACAGCTGAGTTTCTAGAGGTTAAGCAAAGCTGAGTTATTTTACATAGTAAAAAAATGTAAATATGATTTCTATCTGCTGCCATGGAGTCTGGGGAATCTTCTTTCAGATTCTTTTGTAGAATTCCAGACAAACATAGCAGATCTGCACTAATCCCCTTATAACATTAAGTAGGAAGTGAGTCCTTGATAAATTGGGAGAAGCTTTAGAACTCTTAGAGCCAGATGCCATCAGGTATGCTAGAAACACACAACTATAAGAGCTGTGGTGGTGCAGTGTTTAGAATGCAGTATTGCAGGCTAATTCACTGCTCACTGCCAACAGTTCAATTCTCACCTGCTGAAGGTTGACTCAGCTTTTCATCCTTCTGAGGTTGATAAAATGAGGACTCAGATTGTTGGGGGCAATATGCTAACTCTGCAAACCTCTTAGAGAGGGCTGTAAAGCATTGTAAAGTGGTATATAAGTCTAAGTGCTATTGCTATTGTTGTTTTGGAGGTGGCAGTTGTAACTTCCCTCTCTTGGTTGCAATGGGAATAATACTTCACTATAGTCCACCTTTCTCTTTACTGCTTCTTATAGGTTTTAAGTTATGATAATATTGTTTGTTACATTATATCTCTTTTTCTGTTTAACTTTTGTTCTTCCTTATAATGTATATATCAAAGAAAGGATTTCCTATCTGTCTGCTTGGGATCCAATTTTTATACAGCACTGAAAATGATTTTTATAGCATTCCTCTTCGTTTGTTGAAGCCTTATTTATAGCCAAATTTAACATCTCTATTATTTTTAATTAATTATAGTTAAATATGTTAAGCCGAATGTTTTGATCTATTGTTAGCCATGATGATTTTTTAAATTAAAAATAATGCTTCCAAGTTGTCCTCATGAAACTGTCTTCTTCAAATTCAGGGTTTTGAGGTTTGGACGTGTGTGTCTGTGTAAATGTCCATCCATAATTTTCTTTTTTGTTAAGTTAACTTTCCATTCCTTAGGTCAAATATTTTTGAAAAGGCAGAGAGAAATATTTTTATGAAGAATCTTGGAGTAATTGAGGCACCTGTGGTCTATCAAGTTGTGCTTCAATCCTTAATATCAAATTTAACTCATGGGAATTGCTCAAAAACCAGTTGGGTGGATTGGTGCAGTATCAGAGTTATGTCACTAAATAGATGCTGCATCAGTTATGCCTCCTTTCAGTGCCATGGGAGAATTGGAGACAATTTGAAGAAGCACAAAATTAAAATAAAGACATTTCTTCATCAAGGGTGAAGGTGGCAATCAAAGATTTAATTTCTAAACTGTAAAATTTGGAGCCTGCCTTTGCAGAGCTATGGGTGAAAAAAAAATACACCCAAGCTTTCTAACATCACAGTGTGCACTGTTGTGTGCCTTGTGCTCCTGTTTTAAGCACAGTGGATATGTACTCTATTTGTTGTTATTGCCCATTGAGCAAAAATTACACTCGGAACAAATATTCCTGCAGCAGTGGCCCCGCACATCAAAGGATTTCCTACTTTGCAATCTGAGCCTTTGGATTCTAACTCAGAGTGTTGGGTGTAGCAGAGAGGAAAATGTCTCATGAAATATTTGATTCCTGTCCGAACAATCAGGGAGTTCTACCAGTGGTATAATTGTGAATCCCTGGAGAACTTTTTCCTCTTCTTTACTGTTTATCCTTTGTCCTTTTCTCCTCATAGGTTTCAGACTCCATATCGTGCTTCCCCAAGCCACATCTTCTATAGTCAATTACCGGAAGTGGAGGGGGCTATTCATTTTTAGCCAATGTATACAAACCCAGTTAGGGCTAATCCATTGCGTATCAACCAAGCAATTTCTAACTACAACAAACTATGATTTAAAGAATTCAAGTTCAGTGCTATGTATGGAAGGAACCCCTTTCTTTCTTTCTGAGCTCTTTCTTTTGGCTGTTTGTGTTTGGTTCCTTAGCTCAATCCTCAACCATGCCTGCAGGCCTGCTATTTAGAGAGCTATTTTCAATTCTGTTGCATGGAATACAGCACAGTGAAACTAGCGACACTCCAATATGTCCATTAAATGCTAATGACAAGCATTTTCCTAGCATTATTAGTTTTTAAAATGTAATTATACCCTTTGTTTTCCAGCTTCACCCTTTATTTCAATACTTTGGATGGCAGCTGATGGCAAAGCCACGGTTAGTATATAATTTTAACGTTAATGAGAAAAAAGAAATTAATATTATCCATTTAGAGAGAAAGTTACTTGGTACGGTTATAAAAGCTTCTTCTGTGTTCTTTTTGGCCACTCACTCATCCAGTAAACTTTCAAGTACCCAAAAGGGATAATGACTTTGGCAGGAACATTGTAAATTGCGAAAAATCTGATTTTTTTTCTGATGACACTTTCCCAACAGGACACTGCCTGATGATACTTAGATACAGTACTTAGTACTGTACATACATATATACAAACTAATTGTTCAAATACAGATGAAGCTGATTAGAAGCTTCATGAGTTCTATTAGAAGCTTCATGGATGGGTTTTCTCGAATCCATTAAAAAAAATTAAGTGGGCTATATAATTGCTAGATTTGTCCCTTCCCAGGCTTTCAGGGTTAATTTAATGCAATAAATCTGAACAAGAGGTTGGAATACAGAATTATTCTGATCAGAATTCTAGATAATCCATTCCATTAATCCATCTCCTTGGTATTCATAACTCAACAAACAATGAAATTTCTAAGTTACTTTCCTCTCAAATAATGTGGGCGTGCAATCCCTCTGGTGCGCGGGATATTGTAATTACAAAGCCCTTGGCTATGTATTAAGCAATTGACTTAAAAATTCCAACCAAATTTCAGAAATAGAAGACACCAAAGTTTGACAAAGTGGCTCCTGGGCCTCTTCTCTGCCATTCTTTCCAGCCAGCTCCTCCATTTACTGGAAAATTGGAAGTGCTGAAGTAGTCAGGTTTATGGCTGAATTGCTGTTTCACAATGAATATGTCTGTAGTTGATGGCAGTGAAAATTATGATGGCATTGTCCTGGCGGTTTACCGTAGAGCCATTTAAGTTGCAATGATTGGTGGCTGAGTTTTCCCTCGCATTAACATTCTCATTTGCCAGGTGGAAAAAAAATAAGCACAAATTGCTGTCTCTGCTGCTGGTGGGTGGCAGAAGCAATTTTAGGATGTTAACAGGTCTCTCTCTTACTCCTGTCCACTGCAAGAATCGCATGCAATGCTTTAGCCATGGAACAGAGTGATCTCAACCCATTCATGTGGATCTGTTGCTTATAGATGGGCCATAGATGGGTTGGTGTGGGCTGCCAAGCAGGGCATGCTCTATGAATTTGGAACTGGTGAAGACCAAACTTTCCCAGGGGTTCTTTTGGAATGGTGGTTCACCATTGGTATATTCACCTGTGTTCTGTATGAATGTCATTTATTGGTTTTGATATGTTACAAATGTTGTGGTGTTTATTTAGGCTAAGGCTAGTCTTGCCAAGGACATATTAGAATATGTGGCACTGTTGCAAGCTAGCTTGAATGTGAAAGGATACAGTGGAATACAAATTTATCTAACAAGGTTGTTGTCACCACCTCCCTAATCTTGTGGGATGGACTGCGGAGGGAGCACAGACTGAAGTAAGGGAGATATTCCAGATCATGCACAGGTTAACAGAGAAAGTTTCCCTCTTAAGCTACGGTGCACCACTGGGCGCCACGGTGTGCCATGATGGCATCGTGTTTAGAGTGCACTACTGCAGGCTACTTCTGCTGACTGCCAGCTGCCTGCAATTTGGCAGTTCAAATCCCACCAGGCTCAAGGTTGTCTCAGCCTTCCATCTTTCTGAGGTGGGTAAAATGATGACCCAAATTGTTGGGGGAAATATGTTGATTCTGTAAACCACTTAGAGAGGGCTGAAAGGCACTGTAAAGTGGTATATACGTCTAAGCACTATTTCATTTAATTTCATTTTATTTGTCTTGTATGCCACCCACTCCCAAAGGACTCTGGGTGGCTCACAACAGACAAGGGAAGGGGGGATAAATAGACAAAGACAACATTTTAAAAAAGACGTAACATTCACAATTTCCGTGGGGCTGGATGTCTCACAGCCCCCCCGGCCTGCTGGAGCAGCCAGGACTTGGTGGCTTTGCAGAAGGCGGGGCAGGTAGAAAGGGTCCGGATCTCCACG